TCCAACGAACCAGGACCTGCAACATGCACTGGGACGGTTTGCAGCCGAGTGTGAAGCGGCTGGCATGAGAATCAGCACCTCCATAATCCGAGGCCATGGTGCTCGACCGGAAAAAGGTGCCTTGCCCTCTCCAGGTGGGTGGAGAGGTCCTTCCTCAAGTGGAGGAGTTCAAGTATCTCGGGGTCTTGTTCACGAGTGAGGGGAGGATGGAGCGTGAGATTGACAGGCGGATCGGTGCAGCGTGCGCAGTGATGCGGTCTCTGTATCGGACCGTTGTGGTAAAGAGGGAGCTGAGCCGAAAGGCAAAGCTCTCAATTTACCGGTCAATCTTCGTTCCCTCCCTCACCTATGGTCATGAGCTGTGGGTAATGACCGAAAGAACGAGATCGCGGATACAAGCGGTCGAAATGAGCTTCCTCAGCAGAGTGGCTGGGCGCTCCCTTAGAGATAGGGTGAGGAGCTCGGTCACACGGGAGGAGCTCGGAGTAGAGCCGCTGCTTCTCCACGTCGAGAGGAACCAGTTGAGGTGGCTTGGGCATCTGTTCAGGATGCCTCCTGGACGCCTTCCTGGGGAGGTGTTCCGGGCACGTCCCACCGGGAGGAGGCCCCGGGGAAGACCCAGGACACGCTGGAGAGACTATGTCTCTCAGCTGGCCTGGGAACGCCTAGGGGTCCCCCCGGACGAGCTGGAGGAGGTGTGTGTGGATAGGGAAGTCTGGGCGTCTCTGCTTAGACTGCTGCCCCCGCGACCCGGCAACGGATAAAGCGGAAGAAAATGGATGGATGGATGGAAGTTCAGATAATTTCCAGTCTTTTTGCAACACGTTCCATGTAGAAGGAGCAGCATGTGCAAAAGCACAGAACAGAGAGCAACAAAAGATCATTTGATCAAAACCACATGAACATGTCTGTGTGAGTAAATAGCAGATGTAAGAGGGCAGCGGACCAAGCCTTAGAAACTAAAGTGCACCAGAGTCCAAACCTTCGGTGGACAAAGATCCCACTCCAGAATATCACTCACAGTGAGGCTTTGCAGTTCGCAATGAATTGAACATTTTAATTGAATCATTATTTAAGTGCAGTTTTTTTTTTCCTATATTTCATATCTTACTGTTGAAACTGTAAAATGTTATATCAAATATACTTCTTTAGGAATTAAACCCCTGGCTTGTTTTTGATGACTACTTAGGCTTACTACGCTACTGTGTAGTGTTGGTCATTTGTGGTGGTACTTGGAGAGGCAAGTATTTTCTGACGGGGTACTTGGTGTGAAAAGTTTGAGAACCACTGCGCTATATGAATAAACATTACTTACTTACAGATGCCTCTCCATTGTTTCAGGTGTAGGCCTACACTAATTATGTTTGTTCATTCTTTAACTACAGAAGAATAGCAAACATCAAACAAAGAAAACGCTTTCTTTAAATGTGAACATTGCTCAACCACATTCACTGTTGGTAGAAATTACCGAAAACACATACGTGAGATTCATGATTCCAACACACAGCCGATGGTGTGCATTGAAAGGCAATAATGGTATATATGTCACAGCCAATTTTAAACACACTCCCTTCATCCCTATCCATGTGGTTAAATCTAAAAGAATCCCACTGTTTGCATGTGAGGTTGTAATACATTATGAAAATGGGGGCAGCATCAGGTCACCCGGCAAAAGAATGGAATAATTTACTTGTCCCATATTCTCCACCAGCAGCCTTCCTACCGGACACACTGAGTGACCAGTGTTGCCAACTTAGCGACTTTGTCGCTAGATTTAGCGACTTTTCAGACCCTATAGCGACTTTTTTTCAAAAAAGCGACTAGCGACAGATCTAGACAAAGCATTAAAATCATTAAATGTTGTTAATGTTGAAATTATTTTTGTACATTTGTAGTTCTAAACATATTTAGGGTGTTTTTTACTCACTTTTGTCTATCCCACGACGTTATTCCTCTCTCCTACAGCGTCCGTTACAGTTATTTGCAAATTGCCAATTATGCAAATTAGGCGATGACGTCATTTAGCGACTTCTAGCGACTTTTGGGACAGCCAATAGCTACTTTCCTTACTGAGGAGTTGGCAACACTGTGAGTGACCTGCTAAACAAATCTGTCACATCAAAGGATTGGTGCAGAAAATGTGAGCAGTTGTTTGAAGCTGCTGCAAAATCACAAGTTGACCCGGTATGTCACATTTATTTAGGAGATATGGGTTACTGCAAAAGATGGAGGTATGTCTGTAAATACACTGTTGATAATTGGTGCAAATTTCAACGTGTCTTTATCACATTTATATTGAATCTGGACGATGGCACTGCCCCTGTATAAGCAACAACAAGACCCATCGGTGCATACACTGCATGATGGCCATGTAGTGGGTTTATCAAGAAGCACCGGAACTTTTTCAGG